TGATGAGCCCAGCCTAGACCCATCACTCATCAATCAAAACCCTCAGAATCTAACCTGCCTGCCCTCTGCAGCATGGCGGTGAAGGCATGTTTTCTAGCTCGAAGGCTGCAATGAGGCTCCAGTGAAGAAAATGAGAAACTGCTTTTAGAACCGCATAGCACTGAGAAAGTGCCGGCTGCACAACCCTTTCCAGCACCTACCGCCCCTTCCCCCTGGAATATCCAAGTTTCTAAGCAGCTTGGCTCCAATCTTTATTTGGGTGACGTTTGACTGCTAATGGGAGGGGGTAAGCGTCGGGGCCGGAGGGGGAAAGCCAGACACACAAGTGCTCTCCCCGGCCCCAGGTCCTGGTTTGATTGAGTGGCAGTGATAAAAAACCTTCCCAGCTTTTCTGACTCAATCCATCGGGAGAGATAGTTTGGAGACAGCAGAGTCCAAACACGAGGGTGGCCTCTGGCCCCTGGCCCTTTGACATTTCTCTGGGCCTGGCTCCTGGGCTGGCGGGAGAGGACACAGACAATGAGGGGAAGTAGATAGCCAGCCGTGCGGGCAGGGACGAAGGGGAAGCCACCCACGGAGCTATCACTGCACGGGGACCCCGAGCTGGAAGGAAGCCTCCGCTCCGCCGACTCCTTATCACCTTGCAGTATAGAGGCTCACGCTGATTTGCTATTTGTGGTCTCTTCTCAGGCATGACATGCGGAGCTCGGCTGACGTGCTCGCTGTCACTGGAAGCTTTCTTTAGGGGGCAAAGGAAGGTGAGACAGGCAAAAGCCTTTCTGCAAGGTGCATACAAGCCCTTGTACCCCACATCCATAGGCTCCAGAGGGAAGCTCAGCCAGGCCACCCACCAGCCAGGCTCCTCCACCTGTCTGAGCATCAGTTTCCGGATTTGTCAAGAAAGGGGCCCATTCCTCACCTCACTATCTCCAGCCAGTCACTCTGTCCTGGTCCCAATTGTCCCTGCATCTCTTACCCCACCCCCATCTTACACCTCAGAGCCCACACCAGCCTCTCCATTGGTCTCTGGTGTCCACTCAGGTCCCCTCTGTTACAATGACAAAGTGACCACTTCCAAGCCAAAATCCTAGTCCTAGCACACCAGGCTGTTTACCTTGCTAACAGCTGCTTACCAGGGCTGGGGGACACCTGCACCCCTGAGTGTACACGTCATCTAGGGCTGTGCCTGCCTTTCCCCAGGGATTCCCTCCCCAGCCCTCTCTCTGTGCTCAGAGTGCTGCAGCCCCACCTTCTGCTGACCCCCAGCCAGCTCCTACTCTACCCAGCTGGCACTGCCAATTCCACCCTCGCCTGACGCTGTGCTGTGACCGCCCTTAACACTGTGTTTCTGCAGAGCATCCAACTGGGATCTCAATCACACGGTTATATGGTCACCCGCATCGCGCCTGACCTGCGTGCACTCCACGGGCTCCCAGAAGAGCACCTCAGTGGCCAGCGGATGCTTGCCGCATGCAGAGGTGCTGGATGCCATCCTGAGCCTCAAGCCATCTATCACATTATAGGTAGACACCAGCGCTTTCCTCTCTTGGCCCAGAGAGGGGAAGCAACTCACCTACAGTCACACAGCTGCAGAGTACCAGCAACTGTGGTTATTTCTGCAGCAAACCAGCCACCAACTCAAGCCCCGCCAGTGTCACTGAGAACCCCGCAGGCGCCCCGGGAAAGTCTAAGGCTCATGCAATCAAACAGTTCGATTAGCCTTGCATCAGAAACCTTCCCAGTGCCTCCTCCAGCAAGGCATTCGGAGGACACCACCGTAAAGCCTGAACTAAAACGCTCTTTGATTCTTAACTTCCTCCTCCCTGGCTTTCGGTCTGGCATCAATTTAACAAACAGAGCTCCCTAATTCAAACCTAGTGAGCTCATAATCAGCACATTTCACCCAGGTTCCAGAGCAGATCTTGCATGGGAGGCATAATTTTGAGGGTGTAGCTGAGAAGCAATGGTACCAGAGACAGGGCGGAGTAGTGGGTAAGGGTGCCTGCTATCCTCTGTGCAAACTGGTTTGAACTGGATTTGGGTTTGCATTCCACTTTCAAGAACCAGCAATGGGGCCTGGGGACACAGCTCAGCAGCACAGTGCCTGCCTGGCAAGTGTGGAGGTCTTGGGTTCAATTCCCAGTACAAAGAAAAAATAAAGGAATCAACAATGAAGCTTAAGTTAAAATAGTACAATTATAAGTATTTTCTCAAAATTAAAAAAGAGAAAGTCTGTTGAAAAAAGAAAAAAAAAAAAAATGAAGCTGAAGCCAAGTGTGGTAGCACAGCCCTGAATTCCAACACTCTGGGCAACTTACCCTGTCTCAAGAGGTAAAAAGGGCCGGGGATACAACTGAGTGGGAAGCCCCTAGGTTCAATCACCAAAGGAGAAATAAGTGGAACCACCGGCACATCTTTTTAGCCTTTCCGAGCCTCAGTCTTCCACCTCTAGAGGCACTTAATAACAGCACCTAGTGCGCAGCATTATGAAGAGGCTTTAGGCCCAAGGAAAGGCCCCTTTAGGGTAACATAAAGCAGGATCTCTGGGCAGGACCTGCATTCCAGGGGACTCCCCCCTCCTACCCGCACCCAGAGGGACACACATGTTCTCAGGCATCTGGTCTCCAGCCCATCCAGCTGTGGATGCACTGGGAATTGAGTCGGGGGGCTGCTCGGGTGATATTGTTCAGGCCTTCAAGATCCAAGAGGTGTAGACAGAAGTCAGGCGTCACCCGGTCAGCTCCCAACCCTGCCAGGACCCATGACAGACAGTTCCGGCCTCCTTCAGAGCCAGGGTGGGGGCTGGGGTGGAGCCCAGCGGCACAGCACTTGCCCAGCAAGCACGGGGCCCTGGGTTCCATCCCCAGGATTGAGGAAACAAATCAAAGAGCAAAACTCAAGGCAAGTAAGTGTCAAACAGTCAAGCTGTGCAACTTTCCTGTGGCAACTCAGCCCCTGGGGGAGCTGGCAAACCTTTTGCCACTGGTGCTTGAGGCGGGTGATTTTTTTCTAAAGGTCCAGGCTCAGTCCCCAGATATGCAAATGCATTTGGTGGCTGCTGGGGTGGCATGATCCAATGGACCACACGAAAGACTTAGAGTTGGACTTTTGAGAGCAAAACAGCAACTACTCACTGATGGGCCCTGAGCCAACACAAGGGCGTGCATGACTCGAGGATGACTTCATACCAAGCCTGTGGGACACATCCTAATAGGACACCAAATTTGAGGTGTCTGTGTGTGTGTGTGTGTGTGTGTGTGTGTGTGTCTGTCTGTCTGTCTGTCTGTCTGTCTCTCTGTCTGTCTGTCTCTCTCTTCCTACCAAATGGGGTCAACCAAATTGATTCTGAGACCACAGTCATCTCTTCCCTTCCTCCTGGGACTTAATGTCTGCAGTGATTGCCCGCCACCGACTATAATTTACCACCGCTACCAGCTGCACAGTGCTGACTAGGTACCAGGCGCCCTGGGGAACCCAGAGCTCTTTACAAAGCAGAATCCTAGGCTTCGAGAAGCTAAAGGCTGGAGTCCCCCAGGCAGGGAGGCAGCAGCAGGGCTGAGACTCACAGCTGGACCTATGTGGCCTTCCTGCCTGTGCCCTCCTCCCCAAGAGGCCAGGCTGTAGCAGGAAAGCCTTCAAAGGACCAAATCCACCTCCCTAGGGCCTTGCTGGACAGCTCAGTTGTTAAAGCGCCACTTGGACAAATTGTCAGGCGCACAGGACCGCGGTTCGATTCCCAGCTCCAGAACCTTCACCGGACCCGCCCTTAAGGCAGCCTGAAGTAGCCCAAAAAAATAAATAAATAAAATCCTTCTCCACCTCCCTACTGCACTCCTTTGGCCTCGAAGGACTTTGGGAAGAATTGTCTGCTTTCATTTGACAAAGAAAGCCTCCAATGGCAAAGCCAAGCTCTTTCGTCCCTTGGATCCTTCCAGTGCCTCCTCTTCACTAGTCAGCAAGATCCAAGCGCACGGAGGGCTCTGGGAACACATCTAAAACCTAAGCCTCCAGGCTAGAGGTGTCACTCAGCGGTGGAGCACATGCTCGCCAAGCACACGGCCTTGGGCCCAGACCCAGCACCCAAAACACTCCACAACCGGAAGTTAAAAAAATGGGGGAAAAAAAGGCTGGAGTTCAACAGACTAAAGCGCCTGCGTAGGCAAGCTTAGGCAAGTGCAGGCACTGCAGCTTAATCCCCTGCACCACATGCCACGCCAGCCATGCCCCCAGGGCCAGCTGAGCCAGCCAGAGTCCAGGCGTGGTGGTGCACACCTGTAATCACAGCACTGGCAAGGCTGAAAGCAGGAGGATCACCACAAGTCCGAGCTACAAAGTGAGGCCCTGTAACAACCAAATACCCCTGTAAAAAAAAGACAACAAGGAAGCTGTAAAATGCATGTTAGATGATGTCATCTATCTGCAAAGTTTAGAAAAAGAATCTACTTTGCTGGACATGGTGGTGGACGCCTATAATCCTAGGTACTCAGGCGGACACAGGAGCATCACAAATTTGAGGCCAGCCTGAACGACTTAGTGAGATTTTGTCTTAAAATTAAAGAAAAGGGCTAGAGGTATAGTAGAGAGCCCCTGGACTCATTTCATAGAGAGTGAGAAACACACACACACACACACCACGCACACAACTTACGTCTCTGAATGTGTGCTCCACAAAAATAAATATTTTTCTGCGTACACACGTGCCTGTTACAGTGTGCACATCTGTGTGTGATGTTTGCATACACATGTGTGAATAAATAAAACATATCTGAATATTTCATGCAGGTTTTCTACAAGAAAAGAACCACAACGGGGAGGACTACATCATGGGAACTGCTTGTCTTCCTCGTATGGCTTGAATTTCTGACCATCACTGTATCCTCCTGTGGCTTATGTGTTTTAGAGACCTCCAAGTCACTGTGTGTGCCCCACCCCATGCCCACCCCACAAAGGACGGAAGTGGCATGGAGGAGACGGCAGGTCAGGGATGTGAGGTCTCTCACCTTTCCTCTTGGTGCAGTGGTAGATCTGCCCGTGCTCCTGGGGCAGCGGGTACGGGTTGGGCGGAGGCAGGAGGTCCTGGGAGGGGCCGGAGACGCCGTTCTCACACTGGTACTGGGACCCCAAGTTGGAAGATGTGGAGAGAGCTCGGGGCTCGCTGCTGAAAGGGCTGTGGTTGGAGGCCACCTTTTGCCTCACTGTGCTCCTGGGGACCACGGGATACTCTTTACTGCAAGAGAGAAGACAGCAAACCATGAGTATCGGTGTCCTGGTGCAGATGTACACACTGGCTGAGCAACAGGACAAACAGAGCCAGCAGGAAGGTCGTGGGATGAGAAATAAGAGACTGGGACGCGCAACGTGCCCAGGTTGCCTTGTGCGTGTCGTATGCCGCGGATCTGTTTCAGGACACTAACTTGTCATGCCTTATACATTAGGCAAACAAGTCTAGGACACGTTCTGTACAGACAGGCAAGGGAACATTCTGGTTAGGAACCCACTTCCCTATCAGTGGCTTTTGGAGATACTTCCCACCTAGTTTCTATGTCTTTGAATTCCTTAAGTCAAAGCTAGCTGAAAGCCAAGCATGGGGGTACATACCTGGGATCCCAGCATTCAGGAGGCTGACACTGAAAAACCATGAGTTGGGATCTGGTCTGGGCTACATAATGAGTTTAAGGACAGCCTGGAATAATTAGTGAGATTTTGTCTCACAAACAAAAAAACAAACAAAAACTAGATACGATAGGTGTGGTGGTATATACCTGTAATCCCAGCACTTGGGAGGCTGAGGCAGAAAGATCCCTTTTTGTTTGAGGTTACCCTGGGCGATGAAGTGAGTCAAAGCCAGCCTGAGCTACATAGTAAGAACCTGGCTCAGGAAAATTTAAAAAAAAAAAATCAGCCTTTTAATTTCTTTCTTTCTTTCTTTCTTTCTTTCTTTCTTTCTTCTTTCTTTCTTTCTTTCTTTCTTTCTTTCTTGGAACCTGGGATTGAACTCAGACCCTTGCGTTTGCCAGGCAAGCACCTATTCTACTGAGCTATCTCCCCGGCCCTCCTTTTTAATTTCTCATAATTTTTTCACCAATTTTGCATATTTATATCTGGGTAATCTATATTTTTAATCTTTTATGTATCATGTAGCGGTACAGGATCTCACTACACAATGCAGATTCATAATGATCCTCCTGTCTCAGCCTCCCCAACTCTGGAATTACAGGCATGAGCCACCACACCTTGTTTTGCTGGCTGGCATGGCATGCAGTACTGGGGATCGAACCTGGGTCCTTACACTTGCCGGCCAGGCACTTAGATCATGGAGCTATCTCCCTAGCCCCTACCTGGGTAATCCAAACAACTAATTTGAAGATAACATTACATAACTGGGTAGTTATTTAAACTTAACCTTTATGCACCTGTCTTTATTTTATTTCAGTTTGTTTTTTGTTTATTAATTGAGACAGGGTCTTGCTGCTTGCTTTAGGCTGGTCTTGAACACACTATACAGTGCATGCTGGCCTCGAATTCACAACGATCCTC